AAGCAGTCTAATGTACATTTCAAACTGCACTCATCCAGATATTGCATATGCAGTAAACAAACTTAGTAGATATACAAGTGACCCAAATAATGACCATTGGAAAACACTGGTATGGGTTCTTAGATATCTATGATACACCTCAAATGTTGGATTACATTATACGAGATATCCAGCTGTATTAGAAGGATACAGTGATGCTAATTGGATATCAGATACAAAAGACTCAAAATCCACTGGTGGGTATGTTTTTACCATTGGTGGTGCGGCTGTATCTTGGAAATCCTCTAAACAAACATGTATAGCTCGATCCACAATAGAATCTGAATTCATAGCTTTAAATAAAGCTGGAGAGGAAGCAGAATGGCTTCGAAATTTTCTAGAGGATATTTCACATTGGCCTAAGCCTGTGCCTGCAATTAGTATACATTGTGATAGTCAGTCGGCTATCGGTAGAGCACAAAGTAATATGTATAATGGTATCTCGACATATTCGTCGAAGACATAATACAGTTAAGCAATTGATCTCAAATGGTGTTATTTCCATAGATTATGTAAAGTCTAGAGAAAATTTTGCTGATCCGCTTACCAAAGGCTTACCAAGAGATCAAGTATACTGCCTATCAAGGAGAATGGGCTTAAAGCCTACTACATAAGAATCTTTGTAATAGTAACCCAACCTTGCTGACTGAAAATCCCAAAATCTTGGTTCAATGGGATAACAAAGTTATGAAGATTCAAATAAGCACTTTGGAGTTAACTCCTACCCATTCCTATGATAAGGAAGTGCAATCTACAGAAAGTTTTAGGTTAAGTTATACTTTTAATGATTCCTATATCTTGGACTTTTAATAGAAGTCACCTATACAAGTGTGAAGTGTGGCCGTTTCCATGAAAATGTTTCAAAGACTTGAATTCTCTAAGACACTTATGAAATCCAAGAGTTATTCAGGGCCAAAATGAACACAACAGTGAGAACTCGAAAATGTTAGGAAGGTTATTGTGCTGATACTATTGTCTTGGTTTACAAAAACGGCTAACAGTTCAAGACACTGCGTTTACTGATTTGCCAAGTAAATTCTATAGTATTCTACTACGGAAGGTTCAAACCCATAAGGTACATATCCAGATGCGATAACATTCCACATGATCTCTCTATAGGGTCTGCATAGTCTATTGCATTAATTTCCATTCATATGGAGGATTGTTGGAAAAATTGGGTTTTAATTAGTTGGTTTGACCAACTTTTGACCAATTAATTTAGTGGGTTCCGTTAATCGGATATAAGATTTCTTTGGCCAAATGTGTTCTACTCCATGAGTAGATTAATATGGTATATTTATTTTCTCAAAATCAATTTAGGGTGAATGAGAAATTAAGGTCAAAAGATGCTCACTTGATGTTGAAATAAAATATGTGGAAAATTGAAAAATATCAATCCCACATAGGAAAACTAGAAGAATATAAATCACCTTATATAGCTCAAGTTTGAGACTTGGGTTTGGACCCCAAGGGGTACCAATAGTCTTTGAGGGGAAGATAACATATATGTTAGTAGGTTAAGCCAAAGCCTACACTCGCGTGCCGGTCACGGGTCGTGGGTCTTGGGCTTGGGCCAAGCTAATATATATTTTTTGATAAAATAACATTTGAATTATATTATTTTATTATTATTTAATAATAATAATATATTTATGTTATTATTTTTTCTTCCCCGAATTTTCTGTGTGTGACATGTGGTGCTTCTAGAATTTGGCGGTTGAATGTCTAATCGGTTGTGGCGGTTGACTGTCCAAACTATTTGTGTCTTTTGGACACAACTTTTCGACAGTTGTGTCTGTTGGGACACAACCTTTCAACATCTATATATAGGCCCCATACCCCGATTTTAATTCATTCCAAAATCAAATTTGATTTTCTACTCTCCCGAAATTATCCCATTATCCCTGCATCATTTCTGTTTTTATAATTCAATCCTCGAAAATTATTTTTCGTGCATTTTAGTCACCCAATGTGTGTGGAGAGGTCTAAACTTTACGGGCTCGTCGGGTCTTGTAATTTGGAGTACTACTATTACAAGACGAGGTCGTTGTATCTTGGGAAACGAGTGCTGCAATACCGTCAGTACCAGTGCGAGGCATTATCGTTTTAAGGAGAAAGAGTCGAAGTCTTGCCTCGACCATTCAAAACCATCCAAACGTCCTTACTCTGCCCAAATATACATTACGGTGACACTATTATTTGCCAATATTTTTCAACAAATTTTAATAAAAGCTCATTTAAATCTTACTTCATAATTGATGTAGTCAAATTTGAAAGGTTAATTATGCGAATAATCATTAAAGTTTTGAGTAATTATGTTAATGATTATTGAAATTATATTCTTATGGTTATAGTCACTAAATTTTCTAATTGTCACACTAATAGTCACTTGGTAAAAAAACTCATATTAAATTCTACTTGACACCGTGAGTGTCAAAGTGTCGTCAAATAGTGTTACTTATTATGTTGGCAAAAATCGTTGTTTGTGGATGTACTATTCGATTTAAGCCAAAAAAAATCTGACCAAACGTAAAGTCGTGTTATGCCTTCTCATTTGAACTTCTTTAATTCCCAATTCTCATCTCCCTAACCTTGTTGGTTTGACGTAATAAATAACGTCAATTGGTGATGCATTGACATTTAGTTGTGCTATGTAGAGTTTAATATTGATTTTCTTTAGTGACAATTAATGTAATTACTTAAAATTTTAGTGACTACTGACGTAATTAATCCGATTTGGAAACTTGTATGAGGTTCCAATTCAATTTGTCGATGCATTTCTAGATTAATAATAATGATAATAACAATAATAATAATATTAAATGAAAAATATGAGGAACGTCTTAGAGCCCTTCGAATTAAGGGGATAAACATGAGATCTCAGAGTCCCAATGAGCGGACAAAATTTAATTGGCTCAAGAAGATTCTACCAAATCCCTCGGTATAACTTTTCGAGATAAAATATTAGTAATTATGTGCCACAAATCCCATGAAAATCATGTCTTGATTTCTTCATACACTCAAAGAGATGATGTCACTTTGATTAATGTGATGTTCAGTCCATGAAACTCGTCGTCTTAATACCACTAATCGAGATTAGACATGGATAATGGTGATGTCATTTTGATTAATTTTATATTTGTGAAGGCTTCTTGGAGCACTCTCTCTGGATTAGAAGTGGTGATCTCAGCAAGTAGGACCCAAAAATAGTTTAATTGTTTCAGTCATTTCCAAATCTCAAAGCACTGACAATTAAAAATTTACAAAGTTGAGCAGTCAAAAAGAGAGATAAGATCTAAAATGTGGTTAATTTTTGGAAAATTTAACATGTAGATCCACTATGTGGTGGAGGGTGCATGACAAAATTATGTTATAATCCTTTGGGAAGTATTTAGTGAGGCTTCTTGGAGCACTCTCTCTAGGATTAGAAGTGGTGATCTCAGCAAGTAGGACCCAAAAATAGTTTAATTGTTTCAGTCATTTCCAAATCTCAAAGCACTGACAATTAAAAATTTACAAAGTTGAGCAGTCAAAAAGAGAGAAATAAGATCTAAAATGTGGTTGATTTTTGGAAAATTTAACATGTAGATCCACTATGTGGTGGAGGGTGCATGACAAAATTATGTTATAATCCTTTGGGAAGTATTTATAAATAGTTCAAATTATAAATATATGAAAATGAATAGTAGTGAATGTTGTGAATTCCGACAAGAAGTAATTTGATCGATTATAAATAACTTATTTACATTAGTCAAACATGAACAGTTCAAAATTATTACGAATACAACACCCAATTTTTATCAAGGGTTGCATTGTCGGCCTATTTAAGAGTCGTCATTTTATTGTTGGGCAATTTACACGAAATATGGCCGGAAATGAAAAATATTGGTTGTTACTTAATTTTTTGACATATTATAGTGTTTATAATTTATTGACGTGCATTTAATTCGAAAATTTTATACAATTTATACTCTGTATTAACCATATTACAGTATTTGAAATTTTAAACAAACATCATAAAAGTATGGTCATTGTGATTTTGAATCGACACTATCAGAGACTTAATAGAGACAAAATTTTGGCCTCTAAACACCATGCTCATAAATCAATTGCAAAATGTTGGCATAAATGTACAATAGATGCTAAGCTAATAATTTATTTATTTTTTTAATAAAGCAAAATAACATTAAATACGTGGTACCAATCTAAAAGCCTCGGCAAGTGTACGTTAGTCTTAACACTCGTTTCCTGTGAATCCACCAACGCCACCGGCCGATGAAGCATTATACAGAAATTCAGATCCAAGAGAAGACCTGAGCCTCTTGGAGCAACTCTCTGGTTCATGATTCATTATTTTACCACTGCAAAAAATTGCCCCCACCAAGAATTTGCTCTTAAAAAGTTTCTTTAATTTTCAAATATTACCAAGTTCTGAACTCTTAAATCTGATCATCTGGAAACTCTACCCCCTAAATTCACACCATTGCCCTTCTCCACTGCCACCGCCACCATTTCCAAATAAACCCTATACACTCACTACTCGTTCATGATACAAATTCTAATATCAAACCACCTCAGAATTGGGTTTCTTCTCGAATCGAGACATTCAAATTCAAACCCAAAGAACCACTCAAATCAAAATGTACATCATCTTCCATGGAGCGCACTGACAAGGCAACAAAGATAGAAAATAAGCAGGTAGACAATGAACCCTTAGTAAATCCAGAAATTAAAGCCTTCAGGAGATGCTTCACCAGACTCAAAATATTTTTGAAAACATGTCTTTTTCCTTCTGGCTTTTGCTTTTCCTTTTCCATAACACAGTGAAGCTACAGAGCTTGACCTAATTAACCATTACTATTTTGCTCAAAATTACAAATGAACATTTGATTCCATAAGCACTATGAAACCTTTCTCAACCAGAAAAACATGAATCGTAACAGATATAAACCACAAAACGGTGAAGAAAATTACCTGAACGCTATATAAGAACCAGGCAGAAAAAATAGAAAGAAAAAATACATTCAAAAGCAAGTATCACCTAACTCATACACAAACTGGGAACTGCCTTTTGCTTGAATCACAAGGCAAAATATCATGAAAAAACATATAAGGGATGGCACTACGAAGATGGAAGCTGGATTATCTTGAATACTAGAAAGAAATTATTACTTTTTAAAACAATCTGTGGGGCTCATCGTGGTTGGATTTTTAGGATAAATTATGCCATGTGTTTCATTGAAGCAACCAGAGGTCACTTGAGATGTTTTGCAGCATTTATACCAGTTTTGAGCTTGACCGTCTCATCCTCTTTGCACTGATATGCAGACTGATTGGAATGCGAAGTTTTAGCGCCTGCTTCGGTCAAGCCAAGTATTTGAACAAGTTCGGATTATCTTTGTCCCTCTCCAGATAGTCCCGAGTGATCAAATCTTCAATCCTCTTCTTGATTGCTTTGACATCAGGCTATAGAGTGCACATTTACATTTAATCAGCTCATTCAAAACAAAATAAATTGGTCAATTAGATGAAAAAATATGTCCTCATGTTACCTTGAACATGCGCCCCAATTGCTCAACACACTCCATAACCAACTGCTGATAGCCTAAAACTTTCCTACTTTTCATTATGCGCACAATTGAGGCATCAATGGCATACCGTCTGTCCTTGTCTACATCTTCAATTACCTTTTTCTTCTCATCAACGGGAGGGAGAGGAATCTGCACTTCCATGGTTATAGTTATAAAACAGATATGTTACATGAAAAAAGTGCAATAACATTAAAATTTATTGAATTTATTTCACTTCGTATTCTTCTTATCATTTTCCCCTCAAGATCGAAACATTGTCCACTCGGCCGCTATCAAAGTTTTATCTTATTCACCACACTTTACTTTGTTTCAAATGGTAAATGAAGTTCACTTTTTGTTTTAATGGGTTAAAGTCCGTTAATTTTATCTTTTTTTAACAGAATGTCCAACAAGGAAGTCCAAGTCAACGTGAAGGTCCAAGTCAGACATTCCTTTAGAAAAATTAACAGATTTTAACTAAGCAATCAAACAGAAGCAAAATGCAGACTTCACTAGCCACTTTGGAAAACATAAAGTTCAGTGATAACATGAACCTAAGCCATAAGTTGAACAGTAATTTTTACCCTCTCCTATTTGGCTTTGCGGAAATCGGGGTTGGGGTGAATGATTACCTTGATTCTTCTCATTTTATCAGTAAACTTGGAGTTGAATTCAAAAACATCAGTTGAAGAAACTGTTTTGGTGTTTGGCTCCTTATTAAGAATCTTATACTTGGCGCATGAAAGGGAATGAAGCAGCCTAACAACATCATCATCTAGTAGATTCAACTGGGTCATTATTTCCTGATAACTCAATCTATCTGAGGAATTGAACAGAAGCAGAGCAGCAGCCTACAAAAAGGGAAAGAACTTTCAATCTCCAAGTAATATCAATCATGACAGCAAAGCAAACGAAATATTAGTTAGTCATATTAAATCACCTGATAGGTTGTCACGATCAGCTCTATTGTTTTTGGTTCAAATTTTCCGTTGATGTTACAAGTACCCAAAGAATATATCCATGTTAGTTTCCTGTGTTTTGTTTTCGTCTGGTAGAACTCTCTAAATACTTCAACGCACTTGACCTAACACGAAAGTTCTAAGTAATAAAGAAATATGACTGTCAACTGATCAATTCCATTAAAAAGAGACTTTGCGTACATTCATACCATCTCAGCAGGGAGATTGAGATCAAATGACTTGTAACTTGGCCAGAAACCAGTAGTCAAAACAGTAACAGTCAAATCAATCCCGGGACTTGCATTTGGATTATTGCCAAGATACTCTTCAAAGCTGGTTTGATTTTCTCTTGCTAGCGTTAAATCTGTGACCTGGAAGAGTTGAAACAAGAGAAACAGGGTTGATATTTAGATCACGTCTGATGAGAGCTATGATTCAGCGTATAGATATTGTAAGCTCACCATTCCCTCCATTTTTGATGTAAATTGACCCCCACATTGCTGCTTCAACTTTGTTAGTATACTTCTCTCATGCTCATCATTGGCACTCTTGTCAAATAATAGCCGCCGAGCAAGTTTTTTCCTGTCAATAAAATCAATCCATAATCATCTTAATAGAGGGTTAAATGAACTAGTATAGACTTCCTTTTGTTGAAAGTTGGCTGCTGAATTCAAACTTTGTTACAATTAGGTCACCACATCCATTTTCGTTAGTTTGGCTAACATAAAAAGGTGATGTGGCCGTCTAGTTAATTGCCGAATAGATTCTGTGTCAGCTTTACCATTAGTCAAACCAATAAACAGACGCAAAATGACCAAATAGTAATAAAGGTATAAATTCAGCGACCAAATCAATACACAGTTTTATTTAGTGACTGACTTGTAACAAAATGAAGTTTAGTGACCAACAAAGAATTCAGCTATGAGTTCAGTGACTAGTAGTGCTTAAAATTCACTACATTCTTACCAAATGAAAGTCTATCAACCAACCAATAAGTTAGAACATTACCTATAGAATTCAGCAAATAGATCCTTATCACTGATATAAGCAAGCAGCTTCACAACCTGCAAAATAAGTAGAGCGAGCCTCAACCTCAAATTTCAGCAGATTGAAGACAGTAAAAGCACAGTAAAACAATTGTACTAGAACCACACCTTTTCCAAAGTCTCCTCAATGGCTTCATCACTCAATTTTTCACTGCCACCCTTTTTGAGAATATTATCACAAAATGTAGCAAGAAGTTCAGCACTAGAACTCCCAGCAACGCCCTTGTTGCAGAAGATTTCAAAGGCCTCCTTGAGGGCCTAGTGTGGATGTATAAAAATAAGTAGTCATGTTAATTATGGTGCCAAATGACATGATTGGAAAAATGGTGCAGTATTTTTAATAGTTCTAACCTTGTGGAAGAGAGAGTTATTTAGAAAACAGTCAGTCACATATGCCATGAACTTGTCATGGAGCTCAATTACTTTCCTGACAAAAAGCTGAATGCAAAGGATTAAGTCATTTAAACACTACGTAACTACAATACAAGAAAGGCTCAAGAAAAAAATTTACATGTTCCTGTAATCCAATGACATCTCTCTTTTCTGCCTGCAAGACACCTCTTAATGTCAGATACATAGACAAAAATCCGACCATATATACAGAAAAAGATATATTTCAATGCTATGTTATGAGGATCTTGAAAAACTCCTTTTCCAAAACAATATCAAAAACAAGAAAATATTTACCAGAAATTTTAGTCAGTAGAGGGAAGTGGAAAACAATGGATATCATTATGCTGTTTCCAAAAAAAATTGTGTTTCCTATTTTAAACTTCAATTTCTCAAGGATAGTTTTATTCATGAATGGAGAAAATATTAAAAAGCAGGGTCACACTTATATAGTGCTAGCTGGGATATAAGAAAAAGATTACATCATTCTGTTTCCAGTTCAGAAAGATGCAATAAGCAAAATTAGCAAATAACAATTTCCTCTTCTTATTTCACACTGTTGTTTCCAGAAAATGGTGTCTTAACTTCCCTTTCCTTTACAAAATTGAATTTCTCAGCATTATTTGCTATATCGCTTGAATGAACATGAAAATTTGTATTACTTCTGTAGAATTAACCATCCACAAAAGCCAATTAGCAAAAGCAACACAATTATAATACTAACTGTACCTGCCACGTGTTAAAGACCCAACTCTAGTGCTAACTTCAACAAATATATTAAGACATTATTTTCCACAAGTATATAGCAGATTATTAACTTTAACCTTTACAGAACCAGATTTACATCAGATTTATTTCCCAAGAATATGCTCTCAAAATGAGAGAGAGTAAAAAAATATAATAATAATAATAATAATAATAATAATAATAATAAATCTGTTAACAGAAAATGAAATTACAAACCTTCTTGTTACTAGCTGCATCCTCTGCTTGTTTAACCAACGCCGTACCTTCGGCAGTAACATGCTGCACTCAAGATGCCATTATTTATTAGAAACAAAAAACTTGAGAAATAACGGTTTATTTTAAAAAACTTAAGCATATCAAAACCTGCTTAAATATATTAGCAACAGGCTCTAAGCCTCGAGGTATTTTGGAGAAGAGCCTATACATTCTTGACAAGTCCTCTATCTGTGGACCAAAAAATGTAAAAACTTCAACAGATTAAGATCAAATAAAATAATTTCATCACTCGCAGCAGCAGCAGTACCTTATCATCCCTAAGCAATGAATAACAACCAGAGTGCTCCTTCTCCAACAGTTGGGTGGCATAAACAGATAACAACTCATGTTGTACTTTCTACAGAAACAAAATAAGGAATGATTAAGATGAGATAAGTCAAGTAGATAGTATATATAACGGAAACCAACCCTCAGATTTCTTAAACAAATCAAAATGCTCCACCAAAACATCACCCACTTTTAAGAGCAGGAACAAACCTCAAGCAACTTAGTCTCACTACTTGAATGAAGATAATGAGAAACCCTGTCCTTTTCCCGCTTTAAACATTCCTCGGCCTGGATTGCAAAGATTAACACAAACCATGAAGCGAGTAAATTTCCATTTGAAACTTTTCCCCCTTCTTTCCAATTTTGTGTACTTCTTATATTTCTTTTCCCTTCTATTTTTTTTTTTTTTTTTTTTTTTTTTTTTTTTTTTTGGGGAAAAAAAAAAAAAAAAAAAAATATTTGTTTGACCTGCCGATGTGGGTAGGTGGGTAACATAATTTTTGCCCACCGTGAACAGGGAATAAATTTTAGCATAATGAAATGACATGCTGCAAAATTCCAATGCCGTTACTTTGAATTTTCTCCGTTTTGGGTTTTCATTTGCGGCCGTTGTACTATTAGACAATTCTTAAGTTAGTAAATATACTTTAATTTGTTTTAATTAGGTAACTATACTTCACTGTTGTCTCAATTTTAGTCCTTTTTAACATATAGTCCGGACATGAATCCTCTAAAATCCAGTTTGAAGCCTTCCGAGAATAATAAGCTGCAGTGTCATCGAGCAGTGCTACTTCGAAATCATTCTCATAATGCTCCATCTGCCCCATTCCAATTTCAACAAATATATCTAACACATTCTTCAATAAAGCACGATCTATTTGCTCTCCTTCTCGCTCTTGATCAATCTAGTTGAAGAAAATTGTTGACCAACTGAACAGAAAATGCAAACAGAATGGAAAACAGTTGAAAAACTGACAGATATCATACCAGAGATATAACAGCATCCCTTACTTTTGCATTTAACTCTATGTATACCTGAAATTAGAATTAAGAATCCAACACTTCTTATAAACACAACTGAAAACAGGAAATGGAAAAGAGGACAAAATATAGAAAATAAAATATGCAGGACACAAAAAGAACCAAGGAATGAGCAACTGCTTCAACTTGGTGGCAACTGGCAACCGCCAGTTTCTCAGCCAGCAGCGAGCGTAATTCAAAACAGAAACAAATAAAAATTAATAAACAAGAAATCAACATTGTATACAATCAAAAGTTACCAGGTCTCTGAAGCAAGTGAGACCAACTTCTTTGAGCGGTGGAAGTGACCTCCTAGCAATGAAGTACCGATCAAGATAATGGAAGAATCTTGAGAGCCATCTGACCATGATTTTATGGTTTAACCACCGTTTCACAAGCTCCCTTAACATGAACTCATCATGTTTTTCTCTCAGTGAAGGCAGAACCTAAATGGAAAACAAAACACAAGGAAATGAAAAGGTTAGAGAAGACTGATGATAAATAGAATGTTAAAACTAATTATGAGATCGACTAACAGATAGAGTGGGCAAAGGGACATCGAGGGGAGGATGAACTGTGGAGGAGCTATATTAAGCATCTGAAAGGAGCAACATCAGCATAGTCTTTCTACTTACGTGCACACAATACTCATATTTAAGTTAAAAGAGGACCCCCACCCCACCACCAAACACACACAGCCATGGGAGGATCTATTGTGGGGGCAATGAGGTAGCCTGTGCTCCACGCTAAATTTTAAATGCAAAATTTTGCACAGGTTTCAAAAAATTCCTTAACAGTTTTTGATTTTGCCCCCCACAATTAAAATTTTTTGAAATTTGCCCTCACAACTCCAAAATTCTAGCTCTGATCCTACACACAGCATTAATGAGATACCACAACATATCAAGCTTTCAACCCAGAATTTCTATAGGCAGTTCCTCGAAAACTCTTATGCAAGTAGATGTTAGCTAGATAATAGAACTGATGAAATGATATGATACTAGCGCAAACTCTAATATTTTGATAGGCTATTAAAATAAAGAATTCATCAATTTTTTAGCTGTTCAATGACCCGGGCAAGTCCACAAAGTTCTTAGGAGCATCTCAAGAATAAACATCACCAAGAATTACAATAAAATAGCTATGATGAACAATGATAAACTCAAGATATAATAAACTTGAGACATGAGAGACCAACGTCAGATATTTAAGAAACGAACTGCAGCCTAACCGTTGATGTAATGTACTCTTCAAACGACTCCCTGTATTTGTCATACAATTGCTGAGAATAGTCATGCGGGGGCTTTTGAGTGCACATGTTATAAATTGTCCTGTAGAAAAGATTTAAGAAACTAAGAAACAGTAAACAAAATAATCATCACCAATGATATCAAACACTAAACTAACAGTACGAAGTACAAAAGATCATACGTATAGAGCATCATATAGTCCTCTGAGCTAAATTGTGGCTCAGGAAGCCCTTCTAAAATGTTCTTCAGCTTAGTGATTCCTTGCTGCATAAAGTCCCATCCTTGTTCTAGATCAATAGTGTTCCGCTGGTTCATTGTCATGCTTTATAAACGCACAAGTTCAACACATGAAAACACGGCAATTCGGTTCTGATAATTGATAGCCTGCCATTGCCACAAGATAAACTAANAATCAACATAATACATCTAGAATTGACTAGATTTTCAAACAAATCAACTCAGAAATATTTAACTCACCGCAATTTGATTCTGATAATTGATAGCCTGCCATTGCCACAAAATAAACTAAATCAACATAATACATCTAAACACTTGAAGCGACTTGATATTCAAACAAAATTAACACAGAAATATCGCCAACAAAATTATTCAACCTTACATACAGAGCTTATCTATGAAAGCATTGTCCAATTTCAAATCACCATTTACACTGCTCACTTAATTCCCCATAATTTCCTCCAAAATCATCATTTTAACCACCTCATCAATTTTTTAAAAACCTCTCTGATTACAGTTACCTTCCAGTTCCATTATGTAGTACCAAATCCATATTTACAATTTGAACTAAATTATTCACTTGTTACAATACTTTTTAGACTAACCTTTTGCAATTACATGAGCATGCCCCAGTTTCAAGGCAACAAACCAACATAATATCATCTATATAATCCAACATCTAAACACCACATCTAAGTAAATTTATTACGAAAACAAATTTACCTCAGCACATGCCCTAACAAATAATAACACAAATTTACAATATCAATTACGTAAACCTCCAATAAATAAACAAATCAAATAAACACTAACAGAAAACTGGAACCCTAACAAAATCAGTGGAATCGCAAACACAAGTAGAGAACCCAATCTAAACAACTAATCCCCCTACATTCAACTCCCAAGGAAAATTTATTTATCGATATAACTATCTTTACCTCTAGGATTCTCGATTCAACAAAATAAAAAATTTAACAACCTACCACAGCTAGGGGGAAAAAAAAAAAAGCGAAAGAAAAAAATCAAATCGACTTCGCATATGCATACATGTATTGAGATATACCAACATATAATACAATCACAAATATAGTATATGTGTATGTATATGTATATATACATATGCAGAGAGAAATACCTGATTCTCGAGAGAGATAACAAGATTGTTTGAGGGAGATGTGAATCTCTTCTTCTTTTTTTCCTTTTTTTTCCTTTTTTCCTTTTTTTTTCTTTGTTTCTTTGTGTGTGCGTGCGCCTTTTTTATTTTTATTTTTTTATTTTTTTTGGTTTTCCTATTTTTAGGTTTCCTTTAATAGCCTTCCAACTTTTCACATACTCCCTCAAGTTTTTATTAATATTTCTGTTTTTGTCTCGATCAATCAGCCCATGCCCCTACTACTTCAACTAATATCTAAATTGAGAATACAAGGCCCTCGAGGCATAATTTAATGGTATAAAGAATAGGAGTGAGGTAGTTTCAGCCTTACTGATAATCGCAGTGTGAAAGTTCGATTCCTAAAATATAAAATTTGACTCTTTATGGGTACCAGTGTACATGCAAACTTTTGTTTCCTAACTTGTTGGAACACATCCCACAATTTACCTCTCTCACGATACTCTAGAGATTGAGTGACAAGGGCTAAATAGTCTTAAGTCTTAAGCCCTATTTTGACAACCAATTTTGAGAAAAATGAATTTTTTGAATAGTAAATTTTTGGAGAACGTATGATTAAAAACTAGAAAAAAATTGCGCGTAAAATATTCTATTATGAGAATGTGTAGTTAAAAACTAGTATAAAAAAAAGAGTTTTAAAAATTGATTGTCAAACAGAAGCTGAATTTGATATGGTAATTAGGCACACTACCCTCAATCGGTAAAAAAATAGTTAAAATTATTACTTGGTTAAAAAATACGATACGTGACTTTTTCCCTACTACATAAAAAGAGGCAATAGAAGTTACTATAGTTAGGAATAGTGAATTTTTCCATTTTATCACACTGCAGCAAATTTTCTTTTTTAATTGTGAGAGCAAAAAAAGGGAATGGAAGTTACTGTAGTTAGGAACAGTGGATTCTTGAATTTTATTACACTATAGTTAAAAAAAAAAAAAAATTAGAAGCAAAAAAACATCGTGTTGTCTTTAATCGTTTCTCCATTTTTACACGTCATTTCACTGCAAACATCACCTTCACTACAATATTTTTTTCATTTTCAAACACTACTTTACTTTATCAAATCCAATACTAGTAAATAAAGAAAAGAAACTAAACTTTTTATCAAAATAAAGAATAAAAAAAGAATTGCATGCAAAAATGGAAAAAAAATAAAATTATAAAGTTTTTTAATTAGATTGAAATAATTAAAATTAAAAATAAATATTATTTAATTAAAATTAAAAAATTATCTCTAGAAAAAATGAAAATAATTAAAAAGGATTTTAAATTGAACAAAAAATTATTTATAATATGAAGAAAAAATTTTGAAAACAAATTTCAAAAAATATATAATAAAAACAAAATAAATTGAAAAAGAAAGTTACGAAAATTAAATAAAAGAATATATAAATATTATTTAATTAAAATTAAAAAAATTAAATTCTTTCATAAAGCGAATTTTAATTTTCCAAAAAATTTCCCTCTACGTGATGGAGAGATTTCTCTTCGTCAATGCAATGGATCACATGGAGAGAAACTTTCCATCGGATAAATTCTCTCTATTCCTCATTCATTTTATTTTTTTCAATTTGCTTTGTTTATATTAAAAATAATTTTTTTAGTTCTGTTCTTTTTATGATAAAATTGATTTTTTCAATTTAAATTAAGTAATATTTATATATTTTTTATTTAATTTTTGTAACTTTCTTTTTAATTTTTTTCATTTTATGACAAACGTAATTTGTTCAATTTTAACTAAATAATATTTATTTTAAAATTTAACTGTTTCAATTTAATTAAAAAACTTTATAATAAGTTTTTTTTTTCATTTGTTCCTGCAATTCTTTTTTTTTTTACACTTTAATTTGTTAAATCATATAGTTTTTTTTATTTGTATTGGTGTAAAATGATGGTTACAATTCGATTCGCTTAATTTTTTTAGATTATGTTTTATTCTATTATCCCTTGTTCAGTGTTCTAATATTTGAATTTTCGCAGAATGAAATACCATCTAAATACGAGAAGAATAATTTTTAAGACTAGAACTTTCGATTTTAGTAATTATCTTGATTGTTTACATTTTTTTGGTAAAAAAATCATCTCAAACATTAAGGTAATGAGTAAATATAACACACATTGAGCAAGATTTAATTATTATTAATTAAATAATTAATTTTTTTTATAATTATATATAAGTTATATTCAATCATTTATCATATTAATGAAATAAAACGGCGTTGTTTTGCCATTCAACGTTGGGAAATAATATCTTTTTGTACTTGAATGCATGTAAAAATGGATAAAAAGGGAATGGAAAATAAAACCAAAAAAGGCTATTATAAGGTTTTTTAATTGAATTTAAGATAATTAAAATTAAAAATAAATATTATTTAATTAAAATTAAAAAAAAATGAGTTTTATCATAAAGAGAAAAATAATTTAAAATTGATTTTTTTATAATACTAAAAAAAAGAAATTTTAAAATAATTTTCAAAAAAAATAATAAAAGCAAAACAAATTTTACAAAAGAAAGTTATGAAAATTAAATAAAGAATATATAAATATTATTTAATTAAAATTAAAAAAATAAATTTTATCATGAAGATAAAAGAAATTAAAAAGAATTTTAAATCAAAAAGAAAATTATTTATGACATGAAAAAAAAATTTAAAAAAAAAAGAAAAACAAATAAGGAAAAAGGCCAAAAATAAAAATAAATTTCCAATTTCTCTCCATGATCCTTTGAAATGAGAGAACTCTCCTTTCAAGATTTCTCTTCGATTTAAAATTCTGTTTAATTCTTTTCTTGTCATGATAAAATTTAATTTTTTCAATTTTAATTAAATAATATTTATATATATTCTTTATTTAATTTTCGTAACTTTCTCTCTTTAAATTTTTTATTATATATATTTTTTATAATTTCTTCTTTCTTCATATTATAAATAATTTTTTGCTTGATTTAAAATTCTTTTTAATTATTTTCGTTTTATGGTAAAATGTAATTTTTTCAGTTTAAACTAAATAATATTTATTTTTAATTGTAATCATTTCGATTTAATTAAAAAAATTATAATAATTTTTTTATTTCATTTTTTATCCCCTTTTACCTACATTAAGAGTACAAAATAATATCGTTTCCCTACGTTGAATGGAAAAACGATGTCGTTTTATTCCATTAATATGATAAATGATTAATATATCTTATATATAATTATAGAAAAATATTAATTATTTAATTAATAATAATTAAATCTTGATCAATGTAATGTTTGAGATGAAAATTTTTTCTTTCAAAAATTAAAACAATCAAGATAATGATTAAAATCGAGAATGATTATCCAAATTTTAATGATTATCCTTCTCAACTCCACATCTAGATGGCATTTCATCCAACAAAAATTTAAATGTTAGAAAATTAAACAAAAGATAATGGAATAAAGCATAGTCTCAAAAAATTAAGCAAATCAAATTATAACTATTATTTTACATCAATACTAATAAAACAATTAAATGATTTAACAAATTAAAGAACAAAAAAATTACAGGAAAAAATAAAATAGACAAAAAAAGTTATTATAAAGTTTTTAATTAAAATTAGAAATAAATATTATTTAATTAAAATTGAAAAAGTTACGTTTTATAATAAAATGAAAAGAATTTTAAGTGGAACAAAAATTTATTTATAACATAAATAAAAAATTTAAATTAATTTTCATAAAAATATAATAACAACAAAACAAATTAAGCAAGGGAAAGTTACAAAAATTAAAAAAAATATAAATATTATTTAATTAAATTGAAAAAATTAAGTTTTATCATAAAAAATAATTTTAAATCAAAAAATTATTTATAATATGAACAAAACAAAATTAAATAAATAAATAAATAAATAAAATTTAAAAATTCTCTCCGTGAACAGGAGAGGAATCTCTCCATGTGGATGGAGATTCTCCATCCACGGAGGTGGATGGATCCATTATGGAAAAGTGCTTTTCGTGCAGTATGGAGATTACTCAAATTTCACTTTTCATTTTTTTATGTTTTCTTTTTTTTTTTTTAAATTTGTTTGGTTCATAATATTAAAAAAAATCGATTTAAAATTCTTTTTAATTCTTTTCGGCTTACGATAAAACTTAATTTTTTCAATTTTAATTAAATAATATTTATATATATTCTTTATTTAATTTTTGTAGCTTTCGTTAGTTTAATTTTTTTTGTTTTTATTATATTTTTTTGAAAATTGTTTTAAATTTTTTATCGTATTATAAATAATTTTTTGTTCAATTTAAAATTCTTTTTAATTCTGTTGGTTTTGATAAAACGTAATTTTTTCAATTTTAATTAAATAATATATTTTTTTAATTTTAATTAATTTAACTAAAAAACTTTATAATAACTTCTTTTAAAATTTTTGCCTGCAATTCTTTTTGTTTTCTAACTTGTTAAATCATTTAGTTTTTTTTTTATTGGTATTGGTGTAAAATGATTGTTATAATTTTGTTCATTTAATTTTTTTAATTATGCTTTATTCCATTTTTTCTTGTTCAATATTCTAACATTTGAATTTTTATAGGATTGAATACCATCTAGTTGGGGAATTGAGAAGGATAATCACTAAAATTAGGACTCTCGATTTTAGTCATTATCTTGATTTTTTTTCATTTTTGAAAAAAAAAATTTATCTCAAACATTAAGGTAATGAGTGAATGTAACATACATTTATCAATATTTAATTATTATTAATTAAATAATTAGTATTTTTCCATAATTATATAGATATGTTAAATTTTTTATCATACTGGGGTCCGTTTGATTAAAAGAATGAAATTTGGGTTGAAAGAAAACGAATTTCAGGAATTGAATTGAATATAACTTGTTTTTTTGGGAATTGTCAATTAAATATGTTTGATTGATATAATTTTTCACCTGAAAAATGTTAAAATTTTGAATCTTTTGATGTTCATTTGATTTTGTTTTATACAAAATTTGTCAATTAAAGGGATAAATTTTTTTACAATTGTGGATATAACTTATTCCAATTGCTAAAAAAATAAAACATGGCTGGAAAATGGGAATTGGTTTTCCATCAAACCA